ATGGTCTTCCAAGAGCAACCTTGCGGTTGTGTATTTTGTTGTCTTCATATTTTTCGCTTTGAATTTTGGTCTGAAACAACGTAGGATTGAACTCTTCCCATTCATAAGCTGATGAGGCAGCAACTTTGTCTGACTTTCTTTTCTTCCTTCCTCGAAACATCCTGAGATCAAAGAAACACTTCTTCACATTAGCCAAAGTAAAACTAATTCAGTCGACCTCACTACATATAGGTCGACCTCATTGTACAAAATAGAAGAACAAAATTACAGACATGGTCGACCTCCCATAAATTAGGTTGACCTCCATGTACCAAGCAGAATAAAAAAAACATCCAGAAAGAAGTCTAATTCACTTAGATTGACGAAACCAAACATTTTAGGTCGACCTCCCGCTAAATTAGGTCGACCTTCATGTACCAAGCATAAGGGAAAAAACATCCAGGACGATTCCAATTGATAGGATTGACGAAACCAAACAAGAATTAGGTCGACCTCGTAGGAAATAGGCCGACCTCTCTATACCAAGCAAAAGCAAGAAAACATCCACAAATGAGTCCAATTGAGTTAGACTGATTAAACAAACAAGAATAGGTCGACCACAGAAAAATCAAGGTCGACCGATTCTGGGATTCATAATAACAGTACGAAAAACCCATAAGCTTTTAGATTATATACCCGTGTCAACCAATATCAGCCCCCATATATCTTTAGGAGAGATAGCTTTATGATTTCATGTCGGGTTTAGAAAAGCGCGGATTTTCAAGAAAGGGCCGCCAGAAACCCATATTTCTTCTAGAAAATCTCCTAATTGTTCCAGAGCAACTAGAAAGAGATTTAAAAAAGATTTTCAATCAACCATTATCGTCCGACCATGGGTGAATAAGGTCGACCTATATGACGAGAAAACGAGCATGTTTTGGGTGTTTCAAATCACAAATCACAACAAATCAGTATTCGAATAAAAACAAGACCGGTCAACCAGAAAATCATGGGGCCGGCCGATTCTTCCTGACAGTATCATAAAATCGAATTTTTACAGATTTGGGAGATTGGTGAATAGGTCTATTCTAATAAGAACGAACAAAAACTAACGCATATGACAAGAACAGATGAAAACCATACCTTATTCTTCTTATGAGCAGTTGGAGAAGGAAGGATTGGAACTGTTTGTGCTCCTTTTTGGTTTTTTTGTGGTGGAAGAAGAAGGGATAGGAGAGAAATGAAGAAATTGAGGAAGAGATGAAGATAGAAAATAAGTGGAGGGGGGTTGCTGAAGGAAAGTAAAAGCAGTGTGGTAGATAGGGTTAGACCAAACCAGCTAGATTTGGTAAGCCGAACAGTACCTCGGTCGACCACGCCTATCAAACGGTCAACGTATAGTCCCTTGGTCGACGTATTTCTCCATCAAGTCAACCTTTTACTATGTTTCGGGTGATTTCAAGAACCAAATAACACATGCTTATATTATGAAGATAATTTGAAAATACATAAATGTGAAAATAAAACACTGCAATCATAGTTGCAACAAAATAAACTCCCAAAAAACAGTACTAGAAACTTATGCTCTATTTTGGGGCTTTTTCGGACACTTAGGGCGAAAATGACCACATTTCCCGCATTTTGAACACTTACTTAAACTTTTGCTCGAAGCACTTCGTGCTGACTTGAATGTTCCCTTAGTCTTCCAAATTTTTGGGTCTTTCACACTTGGAATGGGTGCTGGAGGGTTTGCAGGTGCAGTGGCGTCCATTCTCTCCCTTGAGAACTCAATTGCCCATTGAGTAAGGTCATCCAACGCCTTAGAGACATGATTAAAAGCAGCTTCACTACCACACGCGATGTCAGACAAGCGCTTACACTTTAGTGACAATCCCTCATGTCTTATCAGTCGACCGACTTTCTCTGCCACATCACCTCCAACTCTAGGAATATTTTCTTTGCATTTTGGGTCCATTTAAGTTTCAACCACGTCGAGGGTAGTGCTGTAAATCCCTTATTTTTTATGACTGGAAGCATATGTGTGCATGGGACCCCCTTAAATTCAAATAATTCACACTCGCATTTTAGATGTTGATTGGTCGTAGTAAATGTTAACCACCTTATCCGATTCGGGTTCTTGCAGTTCTTCAGAATGAATGTCTATGTCCCATCTGACTCAGTTCTTGTCTGCGCTAACACATAAGAAGCTTTGTTCTCTAGTTCAGACTTGACGATATCAAATATACGATGTGTGTAGTAGATACTTTCAGCTTGCATTTCCCATGTGCAAAGGGCATGCTTGTAGACCAACCTTGTGTTCCTAGAAAATAATCATCCTGCACCTCCGTGAAACGTGTCTCCTCCGTGCTTCATCAATACCCTGAACAAAACGTTGCAAGCTGTATTGAGTTCCCACATACCCATTTATCCAATGGTTACATGACTCACATCGCGAGGTAGATTGGAGTCCACTGAAATGAATTTCCTTCAAGTATGCCTCTACCCAAAGAAATTTGTCAGCGTACAAATCCTTCAACCACTTTATTTGCAGACAAACCAGGCTTAGTAATCAAATGCTCCCAGCGGCTCTCAAACTCCTCAATTGATATACATGTTTTCGCCAAGGGGGTGATTGCGTTAACAAACTCATTATTACAAGTGGTCATGTTCGCATTTGTCTCAATATGCTAAATACACAGTCGATGAGGCACTCCAACCAGTACACTAGCAATGACGCCACACATAGACTTGCATCTGTCTTTGATCATTAAAGTCGTATCTTAGAGTTCATACACTCCAGAAAAGTATTCAACAATCAAACGTAGTTGGGGATTGTCTCGTTATCCAACTGGGCAAAACCATATATGATGTTACGGTGGTGGTGATTTACACCAACCATCATAACAAATGGTTGATTGTACTTGTTGCGCTTGTAGCATGCATCAAACGCCAAAACATCCCCAAAAAATGGTAATCTGCTCTAGATGTGGAGTCCGACCAAAAGAGATTGCTTAATTCACCTTCATCGTTCATCGTGTACTTGAAGAAGCTGTCTACATCAGAAGTATGTCTACTTTGCAAGTAACCCAATGTTTGGTTCACATCTCCTATTAGATCGTCGTCATCTTTTCAAGATTTCAGAGCAGCGTTATACAAATACTTTCGAGTGTACCCCAGATTCTCATATCCTCCAACTTTATTCTTCATGAACTGAACAATGTTGCATTATTTTATTCCTAACTGTCGCATCCCTATCGCCAATGCCTTATCTCCTTCACTCACATTGCGATGAGAACAAAGGAATTGAGTTTCTTCTTCAATGCAACAACAATGTGAGTGCTTCCTCTTGAAAGTAGAAACAACCCACACTCTCTTCCCCCAGTCAAAGCGTACATTATAGGATGCCTTGCAAAAATGTCTTGTCATCTTACAATGTTGTCGTGTCCGGTGTTATTTATCTATATGCCTCTTCATTCTGATTCCCTCCCATGAACATACCATTTTCCTTCCAATAACTAATCCTTGATGATTCCTCCGCAGATCTCTACGTCGAACGCTAAACCCTTTCGCTTTAGCATAGGCATCATAAAAAAATTCTGCATCTTCTAATGTTTGAAACTCCATGGAAGGAATTTGTTGTTCATATTTAGTAGGTTATTCATCATCCATAAATTCTTCTTCAGCACCCTCGATTTCCTCATTGTCCCCAATCACCTCATCATCTGTATCATCTTCATTATCCATAGGTCCTACTAGAGCATCCTCAGTTTTCTCATCGACGTAAATCTCTTCAACATCTCTATCATCTCTATTATCCATCCTCCAATGATCGGAATACGAATTGTATGTTAAATAAAATAGAAATTAGGTCTCGTTAGCTCGACCTGGATCAACTGTATTGTCGACCAAATCACAAAATTACACAGATGCAGTCGACCGTGGGAGTTGAGGTGGTTGACCTAATTAGGAAAAAAGGGAACCACAGAGAACCGTTAACCAGCACACATGACACATGGAAGCATGCCTTAGAAAACAAGGTTGACCAAATAGTTATAAGGTCGACCGAAGTAAGAACACACAGCCACCAACACACGATCACAATAAGAGCGATGAGATTACAACTTAACTCCAATAAATTGCATAAATTGAAGTATGATGAAAGTCTTAAGACTTCCATCTATTTATAGAGAATATAGACGAATTCATTATCCTTACTAGTATGGGGAACACATATCCCAATTAGTCAATGATACATAAAATCCTAATTCAACATTGACAAGTAGGCAAAATCCTCATTGGACAGGAGAAGTACACAATAAGCTAATTCGATCGATCTAGGTCGACCTCTTTATGGGAATGGTCGAACATTTTTGCTAGAGGAGAAACAGACAGGATTGGATCCTTATTCCACATTGTTTAGGAGCTAAGTAAAGGTATCATAGGTCGACTGTAACCATACCAGGTCGACCTGTGCTCTGCCTACGAGGTCGACATCTTTGATTCTGTGGTCGACCTCTTTTAGTAAACGATTCAAATTCTAAATTCCTTGAAATCAATCATTGTATAACTAATCAAATAAATGAAAAACATTGAATATCCAAAAGGAAACAACTTCGCAAATCCAAATTTAACATATTGTCTAAGTAATGCAACATTGTAACTAAATGACTTCATTTCTTTGCTTTTTTGTTTTAACTCTCTCTTTTTGCCTCGTTCCATGCATTCATCTATTACATGCTTGAAAAGATTTTCTCGTGCACGGTTTCCAAAATATGTAGCCAGATACCATAGAATCTCCTTTCGCGAAGGTAATTTGTGTTCTTCTCCTATCTGCATTATGGCATATAAGACTTCGTTAGAACAAAAAAAAATACAAATTTAAACAAGTTCTTGGTTGACGATATACTAACCACTCTATCCAGATCTTTGGATCCATAGCGCATCCACTCCATGACGTGCACACCACACTCGGTACTATTCCTTTGCCCTTGAACACATAGCTCTTCAACATTGAAATCTCCAAAATTTGGTACTGCTACAACGCTCATGCGCTCCAGTTTAAAAATATCATGCAATTTGGACAACTACACACAAATAACGAATATTATATGCTTCTAGTAGTATACGTGACACTTAGTAGTCGGAAAATTATAGGAAACACTTACCAATTTCTCACAGAGGTTTGATTTGCGCTTATGACCCGCCTCACTAGTTGAAGGTAGACTGTCAAGCAAATATGTGATTTTTTGCTGGACATTGACGAGATACGGAAACCAATGAAGTGATTCATCGTCCAGAACTGGCATTAATATCTAGCAACGAAAAATCACTATATGTTATAAAAAAGCGAATACAAATAAATGCACTTCTGATGCTTAATGAGATAGGGACATTAACTAACCTTCTGGCATGCACTAACATTTGGAATAAACACCACGCCATCATCCATCAACTTGTTACGAATTTGTCTGGTCTTCATGTTAGTGTGTACCATTTTCTGCACCATATTTTTATTGAGATTAATTGACATGGTATAATATTAATAACTAGGTTATGAAAAATAAATAAAAATTACGGCTCTTACCGAAAACATATTTGACAAATACCACACATTTGGCTATTTATTCTCATGTTTTTTAGACATTGTTAGTGCCCTTGCACACACATCTACCACCTACCAACTGCCAATCAACCACAAAATCCCCGTAAATCATAACATAAATAGTGCACAATTCATACGAAATTCGTAGCAATATAGTACTTACGGATGATCAAATTTAGCTACTCTCGCTAATGACCGAACTCAAATATTTTTGTTGCACGTTTTCGTTAAAAAAGCCAACAACGGTCAAACTGCAAAACCCAAAATAATAGAAATGTCAATTGTGATTTGCACATATCGGTCGACCTATTCACAGACAAGGTCGACCTATTTAGGAAGATGTGGTCGACCTCATTGTCTAAACGGTCGACCACATATACTACTTTAAGAAAATAATACGTCTCTTACCCGTCTCAATTTGTGTCTCCAACCTTCTCCTTTAATAACAACATAAAACAAGTCTCAACTGGATTTTGCATATTTTTATGAATCCTTCTACGCCATCCACTTTATGGACCAACAAATCATAGTTAAATTGAAAGTTATATATGAAAACAAACACACATTATAGATGAATATGTACATAAACTTACTCCATGCTTTTCAAAAGGACTCTTAGATTCATATTCATTGCTATAAGCACTAAATAATCCTTTTCTTACTACATGATCCTTCTGTGGAGTGGTGTAGGAGTCACTTTCACATCGAAGTTTCTTGTACTTAGGAGAGGAACCCTTGCTGCCAAACGTTGTTTCACTCTGTCAATCTTATAAACAAAACAAATTAGCACTAATGATAGTAATAATAATATCTTCACTCACATATGAATACACTTATCTACCTTTAATTTGTGGTCTTTCAATAAATCGTCTATGATCTGGTAGCAATTTGCATAGTCATCATGGTCTTCCTCCTCTTCATCAAAGTCAAATTTCTTTCTCGTGCCATCTCTTCCTCCATTCTCCATTTGTTTTGCACGTATTTTTTTGATAGTACCTTCTAGCTTCTCAAAACCACCATCTTAGTCATATCTGTCAATTGAATTGACAATTGCTCCACTGTATCACAAAAGGACTTTTGATAGTCATTGAATTATTTTTGACACACCACCAACTGCTCTTGTGTGGCTTTCAACACTTTCATGATTTCACCCTCATCGTATTGATGTTTCTCATCGTGTGCCATCGTCTAAACAATTTAAAGAAAAATTCAAATCATAATTCAACTGCAATTTTGTACAAATGACCAACAACAAAGACATGGTCGACCTGACTTATTATTAGGTCGACCTTGAAGACATAATTTGTCACTACCAGAAACAATTAGGTCGACCTTTGCTCTTCCTACGTCGACCTATCAAGCAGAAAAATACCAATTTACCAACAAAAATATGTGTAATACTACCACGAACAATTGATAGGTCGACCAGACACATTGACCGGCCGACCTTTTAAGCACACCATGGTCTTACCAACAAAGCTAAAGTCGACATTCAGGATAAACAACCAAAACAAACACAAACAGTCGACCTTGACTTAAATTAGTTCGACCTATTGGGTTTGATCTTCCTCAGCTTTCAAGTGCAAAAGTCCGAGTGTTGTGCCCTAAATTCAATTTCTAGCAATTTCAAACAGAGGTCGACCTGATTGAGAAAAGGGTTGAGCGAATGGTCTTCTGCACGCAACAAAATATAAAATTAAACGGTGAAAATTACGCATTAGACAAGATGACGGCGATAGCTACATTAGGTCGACCTCACCTTCCACATGGTCGACCTCTTGAAACACGTACAACAGCAAACGCAAAGGATCTTATTCACAAAAGCTCTAACAGTACAAAAAATCTAATTCGGAGTTTGGGTGGCGGTGAAGGTGACATATATTCATATTTATAGATATTTAGGATGAGATTTGGTCGAATTAAGTGGTAGACAAGTTAGGGTTACCTTTCTGGTGTTGGAATCCTTATCCAATACTGATACGGTGTGCACGCGGTCGACCTCGTACTTGTCAGGTCGACCTTTTATACTATTTTCCTAAATAATCCTAACTTTGATGTTGATCAGTGAACTACACAGAGGTCGGCCTTTTCACTTCTGAGGTCGACCGATTAGTACCAAAATGGTCGGCCTTTGAGGTATTTGGTTCGACATTTTAATATGTTGGCTTCCCAAAGAGGTCGACCATTTGATGTATAAGGTCGACCGCGTCAGTGAGCCTCTCAAAACTAAAACATCAGCTTAGGTCGACCTAATCCTAACAAAGGACGACCGAAAAGTGTAAGTTACGATGACTTGCAAGTCACCGTAGCAAAGTACCTACACTTTATTTAAAGGTTTCACAAATTATACATTTTTTTACAAAAGATAACCTTATATTGATTAGAAAGATATTGAACAAATTACAATCTGGTATACAACCAGGAGAGGAAATCAAAAGAACGACATATAGTCAGATACAAGGAAAGAGCTTTTCTAGCCACTAAGTGGACAAATTATACCTATTGAATTTACCAATACCGTAACATTTCGTATACCGAAACATGTGATACAACTTAAATCAATTTTCACCACCAGCTAGTTACTATTTGGCAACTCGTTCCTATTGGTAGCATTACCTAGGGCTACTATTGAGATAAGTTGTTCAGGAGTGGTTTGACATTCGACCCGAGGAAAAAAAAATCATTTGATTCAGAAAAACCTCGACTCATTATTAACGAGCCGAGCTTGACCGATGCCTTGTTTACCTCGTGAGGCTCGTGAGCCAACTCGATTAGGTGGCTTGTTGAGCTCAACTCGTGAACTAACTCCTTTTGAGCTCATGAGATGTCTCAACATTGTGACTAGCAAGCCAACTCGACTGCCGGCTTATGAGAAAATCGATCTATATCTTATGATTTGCCTTGTTGATTCTTCATAGGATTATTAAATTGTATATCTCACTTCATGATCCTATTAAATTGTATATCTCACTTCATGATGTGACTTTGAGTATTTGAGTAAATATGTCTCATATATGATATGAGATCAGTTAATCACATGTATCACATATGACATATAAATATTAGAGTATTTAATTTATAAATTATCTTAAAATTGAGTTTGAGTGGAACTCCCAATTTTAAGGAAGAACCAGCTCGAGCTTAGTCGAACTCAGCTCGTTAATAAATTATCCGAGATCAAACTTGAATCGTTTATTAGCGAATCAAATTTGAACAAGACAAAGTTCGACTCAACTCATTTTTTCGACTCAGCTCATTAAGGGTCTAGCTATGCCACATTTGAAGCATTTGTCGATGGAAAAAATGTTGAAAACCAAACCAGAACTCCATCATTCTGCTGCCAATAGTTTCCCAAAAGAAGACATTTCCATCAGTGATAAACTCCAGCAGCAGCTGCAATACATTAGATATCACTGAGATCCCCGCCTCTACGCGCAACGAGGGCAATCCCAACCATCCCAAATTAGCAGAGAACATGATTAGAGTAAACACCAACAAGACAAGCGGTCATCACGGAGAAGTTCATTCATCTGAGCTACATTCATTCATGAAGAAGGTTTATCCACACAAAAGATGTGATTTCCATCCTTACAGCTGCGTAGCTAGTAATCCAGCTTATGACAGAATCCCAGCCTAGATCAAGGTCCAAGAGAAATGTTTGCGGATATATAGTCAAAGTCCAAAAGAAGCAAAACATTAACAACAATATATCAAACTTAAAATAGTAAGGGATTGCACTGCTTCAGTCCCCAGCATTGATCTCTAAGCATTGTGGCCCATCTGCAACAGAAATAAATCAACACGGATTTAGTTTCTCTGCTTTGGAACCAAGTTCAGTTCCCCTAGTTCAAAACTTCACATGCATGATGTCGTCCAAATAGTTACCAAGATTCCCACTGAAGGCAACGTTTTCAATCTATTACCACATTGATACAAGTTTAACCAAATAACCATAATCGTAACCGTTAACTATATCATCAGGCATCTTCCAAGTAGCTAGGCTGTGCAACCCTCATGCAGACATCAGAAGGAGAAGGAAAAAAAGACCGGAATTTTTTTAAAAAATGACCAAATTACAAGCCAACAAGAAGAACTACAGAATCACCTTTTTCTCGGTCACAAAGCATAACCAGGGGAAATCTATTAGCCAATGCAATACAGCATGGCGTTGATAATGGGGCTCAGTGACCCATAACCTATCCTCTTTTGAAGGCTGCCTAGCACAATCAAAATTTAATTTAGATTTTAGACTCCACACCCATAATTGAGGAATCACTTTCTTTTCTGTCTCAAAAGAGCTCGGAATTGCATTTGTGGGAGGCGTAAAGAAATTGTATATCTTAATCAACTGGGTCGCTTTGCTTGGACTACTGTGCATACGAGCAACTGGGTTAACACTAATGTGCAGACACCATTCTTACCACATCTACAGGATCATACAGAACAACACTGCCCTATATGTGAACCCAAAATCTGAGGTGATTTTTTGTTTCTTCACTTCTTCATCTTCAAACGAAGAAGGAGCTCAAATTACTAAGAAGGTAAATACAAATAGGTGTAGAGTATTATCTACTGTTTCACGGTACAAAACCCCCATATGGAATATCCAGTACTTCTGGCTCTTTTCTTGTCGAAAAATTCAACTGGGTAGAGTTATCTATTGGTGAACCCGCAACACCCAATGTTTCAAATTTGAACAGATGCCTAGGTGAACATTTTTACAACATCCATAAGCAGTTCTTAGGTGAACATTTTTACAACATGGATGCTTTATTTATCCTCCCCAACTATCCATACAGATTTCTGAATTTCATTGCATTCTTTTAACACTGGTCTTCACAATTGACTAATTAAGCAATCATTTTAAAATCACTTATCCTTCCACCAAAAATTCTGAGCGATTATAAACTCTCGGAATCAGTTCTGAAAGGAACCAAGAACTTCCCACAGTCAATAGAATCATCCATACAGACAGGATGAAGAATCATGGCTAGTTTAGCCACACATTGAACACAACAAACAGTATGACGCAGCACCACTAAAACAATAAGTCACTACTAAGGGTTTGCCTTGCTAGTCATGATTTGCTTTTACACTGTCTGGTTTACATTCCAACATAATACCCTGATACATAAGTATCTCATGGAGACTTCATGATGACCATCAGTATTCACATCCAAATATCACCTCAACATCGATATCATAAGCCTAAAGTTCATCAACAATTCTTCAGAACATGTTCATTTAGCTAAAATGGAGAATCGAATTTTAGAAGAGAACCTGGGAATAATTTAATTCGTAGGGTAAGACGAGTTACTTAGTTTTCACCTGAGTTTACACTTGCTTCCAAACTCTCGCCATCAAATAAACATTTCAAACTCGAAATCTGACTACAAACACAAGAATGGCTCAACCAAACAAAAGCAAAAGGAGCTCACTTTCCCCGTTAGTTTTATGCTAATGATAGTCATACGTATCATTAGAAAACAACCAATACTCACAGAACTCAAGTTCTGAACCAGAGAAACAACATTCATCCATAACATCGGAAAACAACTGGGAAATGACAGAATTGAGAAGGGGAAATTCGAATACAAAGGTCAAAGAGGTACCTTGAGAAGAAGCAATCCTTTACTCCTCGGACTCCACGGCTTCGGCCTTGGGACCTAATCCACAAATGAAAACAGGGAAAATTGAAGTATTCAATTCAAAGAAACAAACTACACCGAAGAACATGAGAATCTCAGAATCAAGATTGGACAGAGAGGGAGGTGGTGGCAAAACCGTGAAAAGAATGAGGGCGATGGTCCTTCCCCCAGCCGATGCCACGGGTGGACTCGAGGTACTCGTCGACGAGGCGACGGCATTTCTGGTGGTGGTTGACACCTTCGACGCGATAACACCAGCGGAGCCTCTCCCTCAGAATCTTGGCCTTCTCAATGGCGATCCACTTCTCCCTCACGATGTGCTCCCTCATCTCCAGCATCGCCACCGGGTCCTTGTACGGACTCGACGGATCGAAGTCATCCGGCGGCGATTCCTCGAACTCGGCGACGCCCTTCTTCCTCCCCATCTCGTCCTCTTGCCTTGAGTCAATCTAGCGCGATGATGTCTCTGTGAGCTTTTGCGCAGCGGGTGAGCTCTGATGATCTCCCTCTTCGCGACTCCGCTGGCTCTTCTTCTCCAAGTTGGGGGTGTTGGGCTTTGAGGAGATTAGAGATATGGGCTTTTTTGTAGTCTTCTAGTCCATTGCTGTTAGTCTGGTTAGCAGTGGTCTTGGGCTCGAATTGTATCGCGAATACCGGAGCCCATTCGTATGGAATCGTAGAGGGTAGACCACACAGAATTCTGTTTCTTCCTAAGTTCCCGCCTCCGCTCTCTTATTATCTTCACAAACTCAAAATTACTTTTTTTTTTTTTTGCCATAGATAGATCGTAATAGACAGGGTATTACAAAGCAGAGGAAATAAAAGAACGGTAGTCGACCAACTGGGTCGCTACCGATGCAAGGGCCGTTTGTGCCACGCGATGGGCAGCCCTGTTAGTCCTACGAGAAGCAAATACAAAAGTAATAAAAGCGAATAAAAGCAGAGGAATTTCCTAAGACTAAAAGCTGCATCGGGGAAAGACCCTGGAAACACAATATGTTGGTGTAACTTGGATATAATTTTTAATTAGGTAACTTGTATAGATTTAGAAAGTTGTTAAAGGTCGCCCTAAAAAGTATCAAAGTTACACTTTTAACCCCCTTAACTTCTTTACCTTCCCTTCCTCAAACAAACATCACTTGGACTAAAAAAACACTATCTTTTTTTTTTAATCAATAGATAGATTATATTATCAATCACCAAAAGATAGCACTGTTTATACACCAAAAGAACACAACCAACACTCAAAATCAAAACTCTCTACATCTGCAGGCAACAAAGAAAGGGTCTACACTAAAAAAAAAACACTATCTAAGGAGAGAAAAATCCATCATCGTCATTTTGAAGCCGATATCGTCGGTAGGACGTCTGAATCATGAGTAGCGACTCCGACGAGGTAAAAACATTAACTGGAAAAAAAAACACAGAAAATGGGAACCGCGGGTCACTTGCGGTTCGACCATGGTCCAACCGCAAGTGACCTGCGGTCAGTGGCGGATCCAGAAATTTTAGGTAGGGGTGTCCTCTCTAAAAATTAAATTAAATTAATAATAAAATAACTATTCAATAAAAAAATATCTAATTTATGTGAATTACAACAAAGCACACGACGGGTTTCATATTTTGGAGACATTGTAAAATACATCGTTGTCTAACATTGCTCTACAAATCTCTCTTGATATTTCTGACTAGACAAGGGGAGCCTGTAATTGTGTTTAATCGTTAGCTTTGGAAAATAATTGGGGATAAGGAATAGCTTTTTACTATTATATTTGGATTTAAAATACAAGAAAAAAGGAGTTATAGTCTAATGAAAAGTATGCTTACTAATAGTAGCAGTGATCCGAGTTCAGATTATATAGACTACCACTTAAATATTTTTATTTACCCATACGCAAACTATTGTTAGAGGTTAGATAATCATTTGCCCAATTTTTAGGGTGTCTCACTACCACTTAAATATTTTTTCACCCATACACGAACTACTATCAGAAGTTGAATAATCGGGTTCCCAAATTTTAGGGGTGTCCCGGGACACCCCTAAAGCTGCATGTATCCGCCACTGCCTGCGGTTGAACCATGGCTTGACCGCAGGTCACTTGCGGTCCAGCCATGGTCCAACCGCAGGTCACTTGCGGTTCAGCCATGGTTCAACCGCAGGTCACTTGCGGTTCGGCATTTTATGGGTTTTTTTTTCAAATCAGTATTTTCTATTTTTTTATATGATTTATGATTTGTTCCATGAAATAATTTGTTGGATTTTGATTTATATAATTTTCTAGATTTATTTGCATAATTATTTTTGAAATTGAAGAATTTAGCATTAGAAATTAAGATTAGATTTGGCATTAAATTAAGATTAGATTTAATTTGGTCGTAATCTAGAAAATTAAGATTAGATTTTGCATTACAAATTAAGATTAAATTTATTGCATAAATAATAGATTCGCATATGAAGTTATGATGATTATTAAATTTAATATAGTTATGAAATTTTAAATTTATCATATGGTACTCGTTAAATTGACAATATAGAATGTTAAGTTTTTTTTTTTAAATTTGCGGGGTATCACTTATAAATTCCGATAACATTGCAGGATATTGGAAGTTACAATCCGGGTGGCCGTGATTACACCTCGGATTTCATTGATGGCGTGAAATACACTACGGAGTTGCAAGCATATGAAGCAGCTACTGAGATTGCCAAGGGTTTTGGGTTTTATTTGGTGAGGGCATCGAACAAAAAAAATAAGAATGAAGGTACTTGGCGACATTACTTACATTGCACTCATGGTAGGAAGAAGAAGTCGAAGGAACCTGATCCGAGTAAGGAAAGGAGGCCTCTTACATCTACTGAAAAGTTGGGGTGCGAGTTTCAGATCAAGCTTGAGCGGTCTGGTGATGGATATTGGTTGATCCTAGGGGTGGAAAATACAAAGAATCCTGGTGCTAATTTGGGTTTCCACAATCATCAGTTGGAGCTATTTCCGGAGGGATCAAAGGGAAGGAATGTTTTGACTACAGAGGATAAGCAATACATCAGAGAGCTGAGATCAGCCGGTGTCCCACCAAGGAATATCCACAAGGCAGTGAATGACAGAAAAGGTGCAAATGGAACACACAACAGAAAGCAGATTTATAACGAGAGTCACAAGATAAGGAAAGAAGAGCTTGGTCAGATGACAGCCTTACAGTATACTTTCCGCATGGCGCAGGAGAAGGGTTACTATGTGCAGTATATGGACGATCGTAACGTGCTTACACACTTGTTCCTAGCCCACCCCGAGTCAATAGTGATGTTGCGAGCTTGGCACCATGTGATCGTTATAGATGCAACATACAAGACCAATAAGTATGATATGCCTTGGGTTGAGATTGTCGGCATGACACCAGTGGGATTGAACTTTGTCATTGCATCTGCAATAGTGTACGACGAGACGAAGGAGTCGTACCAGTGGCTTCTGACGCATTTGCAACATCTTCTTGGCCCCATTGTTCCAGATGTGTTTGTCAGTGACAAGGCAGGAGGATTGGTTGAGACCGTGGGGGTAATGTTTCCATCATCGACTCATATATTATGTCTTTGGCATATAGATAGGAATGTGAGAGCAAAGTGTCTAGCGGAGGTGTGAAGGACGACTCATTGTGGTATAGATGAAGCCAAACCGACAGTGGATCATATCATGGCGTCTTGGCAACGTGTTGTATATGCATTGACAGTGGAAGACATGGATACTGCCTTAGACAATTTCAGACGTAGTTAGGGAGTACAGTGCCGACGTCTTTGGGGGTATATGGCAGCTGAGTAGTTACCAGTTAGACACATGTGGGCTAAATGTTATACCAATCAAGTGCGGCATTTGGGTAACACAAGCTCTAATAGGGTTGAAGCTGCCCATTCCTCCTTCAAGAAGTGGCTTCAATCATCTACTGGCGCAGTCGACACTGTTAGTCTCCTAATAAATCTTCATTGATACACACATAAGTTTTAGTAGTCTCCTAATTGTTCTTCATTGTCTGTAGGTATTCAAGAAGAACAATGATTACATTGAGGCTCAACACCTTCAAATCAGGAAGCTTCTAGAGGATTCCCGACAAAAGAAGCTGCTCCGAGCGGATGGAAAACCATTTCGAGAGTTGAATACGAAAGTCACTCTAGAAGCTCTGAGGTTGATGTTGTTCAAGGTAGCAGTGGAAGGAGAACCTTGTACATGTACGTTTCCTCCTACCTATGGTCTCCCATGTAGATGTTCCATTCAGTTAGCACGACGTGAAAATCGAGATTTCGCCTTGTATGAGGTGTTGCCATTCTGGACCGTTATCAACTATCATGAACCTCCTACTCGGCCGGAGTGGGATGACCATAGTGATTACCATCGTGGTGTGTTCCAAGGTCTAGTACAGGAGGTTCTTGATAGGGGTGACGAGACCATTTGAGGTGCAATCGGTCTACTCCGGAGCCATCTTCATCCTGAAAATGATGGCATTGATGAACCGCATGGGGGACAGCCCCGCCCCGGTCGCCCAAGGACGTCCACCACTCGAAACCTATCTCACTTCGAGCACGTGGAGAGGAGACGAGGGAGGAGAAGTTCAAGACTTCCGACTGCAACTCCGGACAATGATGGAAATACAGGTAGATTAACTTTTTCTATTAGTTGTGTTCAATTGTCCTCAATATAGTGTACAACTAATCTATATTTTTAAATGAGATAGGTGGTGCCCCGAATGTGAATGCACAAACCAACTTCGAGAATGGGATGGAGTCGGTGATCCAGAATGATACAGGTTAGAAATTATATTCCTAATTTCGGGTAAACATATTGTATAATTTTGTATTAATTTATTGTGTTATGCTCTTTGGCTAGATGGTGCCCCGTGGAGGGTTGCTCGGATTCCCAATACTAGTTGGAAGAATTACCCATGGCTACATTGTTTGGAATCCTACGTGCAACGACTAGTTCGTGGTTGGTTCAACCCTATTCCAGATGGACACTGTGGATTTCGAGCTATATCACAAGCAGTTACTGGGGACCAAAGGAATTGGCCACAAATGAGACGCGCTGTTGTAGAGGAGCTTGAATCCCGTCCTGAGCTTTATAGAGAGTACTATGATGGAATAGCAAATGGAATAGAAAATGGCATTCGACGTTGCAGGTGGGCATCAACAAGTGGCTGTGGACCTCCCAACTGGATGGATAATGTGGAACTCTTCGTCTTCGCCACCTTGCATTCATGGGGTATCGTTGTATACAGTCAAGGCGGTCGTTATACCGTGCTACCTATGACGGCCCCACCAAGAGTAACAAGATCACGTGGGATCTTATCACTACATTTTACGGGGGATCATTGGCTGCGACTTGACTTTCGACATGGTCAAGTGCCCATGCCTCCAATTAATGGCCTTTGGCCTATTTTCCATGACCCTAGTGTCAATGGGTGGGATCAATTCTTCTTACATGAGCGTGCGCTTTATGATAGTTTGAACCCACGGGGATGACGATTGGAAGTATATTTACGAATTGTATAACTCTCTATTGTTGAAACATTTAGTAATCTACCATGTTGATTAACTATTTTAGCAATGCATTGAATGTAACTAAAGTAAAAAAACACAATCGTCTCAATTCAACTACAAACGATGACAAATAAAACACACCATAATCTCAGTTCAACTACAAACGATGACAAATAAAAAGCACAATAGTCTCAGTTCAACTACAAACGATGACAAATAAAAAACACAATCGTCTACTGAGGCGACTGCCCTACCAATTGGTCGTACAACTCGTGAACCCCAGCTACCATATCATAGAACTTACCACCGTCCTCCTCCCACTTACTCCGGTCCCTCGTCAGCAACACGAGACCTAAACGATCCACAATATGCTCTCTCAACTGTATATAGAAAACAATGTTAGAATAAATAACAAATGTCCTTTATATTTGGAAAAGCAAAAGAAAGTCATAACGAACCTGATGAACTAGTAGTGGTCGAGGCTGAGGCACCCCATCAGTGGGGTGGGTGATCCGTGGGTGCGATCTAGTCAGAAACCATTCAACGTACTCCTCCACGATCTCCGATGGGTGCTCGCACGGCCGAGAAGCAAAATTCAAATCTAGACGACGGGCTGCCACGTTATCCCACAACTGATTCCCCCACGGATCCCAAAAGACTATGTAACTGCTGCCGGAAGCCAGACGGTACTGGTCATGTGGCACCGTCATAGCACGGGGGATAATCTGTTGGTATCCAAACTGGCGCAGACAACGTGCAGGATCGTATCCCTCAGTAATGTCAGAAAAGCGAATGGGGCCAGTATACAAGGAGCGAGGTATATCTGTGTGGCCATCTCGTCCGTACGTAGTCCAGGTCACATCATCAACTGAAAGCTCATCCAACAACTGTTGATAGCGTGCTAACCTCTGTCTAGCCTCATCCCCACCTGGTAAACGGGGAGAAATCCACCAGGAAGCACGAGGTGCATCCGGAGACTGCGGCAGCTAGCTCGGACGGAATAGAAGAAAGTACTCATATATCCAAGCCTGAAGCATTGTCAAACAACCACAAAGACCCTTACTACCCACTCGTGTGGCCACTCCCAACTATCTGTAGAGATAGGCTAGTGCACCAGCTCCCCAAGCGTAATCAGTCAATCGTCGATGATCCTTCAGAAACAAGTTGATCGCAGGACGAAGGCGATCACGACTCTTATCCACAAAAAGCGTGGATCCCAGTAACACAAATAGGTAACACTGAACCTCCATCTCCTTAATCTTCAGCTCTCCCCCATGCACCAAAAATCCCTCTGCATGCATAGCACCATTATCGTACCACTTATACTTTCACTTACCACCAACCTGAGCATCCACCGAAAGTCGAACTAGACCACCCATGTCTGACTTAAGAGTATCCGGCGACGCCTCATCTCCCATCAGCTCTCCGTCAACCGGTATCTGAAGAATGTGATGCACATCGTGTAGAAGGATCGAAATCTCTCCAAACGGCATGTGGAAGGTGTTTGTGTCCGGCTGCCACCTCTCCACAAATGCCGAAAGTAGAGCCATGTCTAAATGCAGCATCATGCACCCTGTCAAGTGAGACAATCCTGTGGCTTCAACCATCTCCTTGGAACCCTCTGCACTCCACTTATATCGCCTCAAAGTCTCTACAGCTTTCGGCCTATGGAAGCCGTCCAACACTCCACGGTCCTGCTCAGGGGAAGTCCACAGTACAAAGCCAATGTGACCTCCAAAGCTAGGGATCACATCGGGAATCACTGGTCCACCTGAACACATCGGAGACTCGGCTGTAAGAAACCACGACATATCTTTCCTCGTGGTCTTCCTCTTCCTATTTCCATCTCCACCATCCTCACTACTAGGTCTGGACGCATAGCGTCCATCGGGCCCACGGAAGTGGGAGGAGGCAGTAGAAGATATCCCGACCCGCGCCGTCTTCCCCACGCCTAAATCAGCTTGAGGTGGGGCATCCCCAACCTCAACATCACCAGCAGCATCACCAGCATCTGGGGCATTCCCAACCTCAGCATCACCGTCATCATCATCATCCTCGTCAATGGAATCACTCCAGTTAGCCTGCCATACCGGTGCGCTATCTGGTGTAGGAGTACTGGTAGTACCTCGACTAAGAGACAACTGCCCTACAGTAGGGTGGCCGTCAGGGTGCACAACATCCGCCTTCTTCTTCTTCCTTCTAACCTTAGGTGGATTTTTTTCTTCATTTTCCTTCCTACCAGTCGCCGTAAGTCTACAAGCACGACCTTCCATTCTCTCCTTATTTCTCGCCTTAATCATATCCGATTTACCCATTCCATGTTCAGACATCTTCAAAAAAAAGTTTGAATTATTAATAATGGATTATTGATAATAGAGTACATAAAGTAATTAATTTAAGATTTCCATAATTAAAATTATAACATTAATAGTTTGAACATTTATGTTACGTTCTATGTAATCATTATTTACATAAAATTAAATAATTAATCAAGGTAAAATTATTAATAATTAAGTAGATAAATGAATTACTTTGAAATTTAGATTATTAAAATGATAAAAATACATTTTTTATTTTTTTATAATGTTCTTTAAATTTTTATCATTAATTAACATTTATCGAATACGTTTTTTAAATTTTTATATCATTATTGACAAAATATATAACTAAATTATTTTTATTAAGTATATGTTTTTAATTAATTTATTGTTATTAACATTTATTGAATAATAAAAAACAGAATTTAAAAAAAAAGCGGTCAAACCGCTATTGGACCGACGGTCAACCGCGCGTTGACCGCGGTCAGCCTCTGGTCAAACCGCGGTTTGACTGCGGTCTCAACTCTCACCTTCTTCTCCGGCGAGGCTGGTGGGCGGCGAGGCCGGCGCGGGCGGCGAGGGAAGGCGGGGAGGCTGGCGCGGGCAAGGACGGCTGCGAGGCTGGCGACGCGAGCAGGAGGCCGGCGACGGGAGCGAGACCTTCTTCTCCGGCGCGCGATCTGCAGAGGGGGGAGGGGGTTGCCGGCGGGACCTTCTTCTCTGGCGCGCGATTTGCAGAGGGTGGAGGGGGTTGCCGACGGGACCTTCTTCTCGGCGGGGGGATGAGATTGCAGAGGGTGGAAGGGAAGTCCGAAGAGTCCCGCTGGAAGGAGGGTGAAGGAGTGAAAGGGTTGTTTGGCTGGTCCAATTTTTAAATTTTCATTAAGGGTATATAGGTAATTTGAATTTTAAGTTAGGGCGACGTTTAGCAATTCTTAGGGCGACATTTAACGATTCAGTAGATCTAAACCCTTAAAATCGATCGGACTTATTTTAAAACATTGATTAAAGAAATAAAAAAATAAGTAATAAAATCAATGGTACAGGGGGTTGCCGGTCACCACCAATGCAAGTTACCTTTCTTGTTTTTTTTTCCTTCTTTGTTACAAGACACGAAATTGAAGAATTCTTGTCTCGTAACTTCTTTGCGATAAAACTAACAAACTACGATAAAACTACGAAAAAAACGCGGTAAATTGCGATAAACGAAAGACAATAAACTAGATTTGGGTTCCAATCTTCTTCATTCTATTAAACGAATGAACTAGTATATATTTATAGGCACAAAAGCCTCTACCTTTTCTTACCTAGAAAATGACTACTTCTACCACAAGGAAACAACTATTAATCCTTAAACAATATACTAAAAGGTCATCTCAAACCTACTAGAACAATACAATGAAACAATAAAGAAGACTAATAACAATAAAATACTAATGATAAAGATATGCAAGCCCAGAACGACGCCCAATTATTACAATGGCTAGATTCTCGTAACATTTTTCACATATATCTGCTTTCCTTATTTTAATTCTTATTAAATTAGAAGCTTTACGTAAGGCTTCGTAATGAGTTAGCACTTTACGTAACGTGAGGTTAATACTCATTAGGTAAAAAGACCTTTTAATTACGTACAGGTTAAGAAACGATAGTTATTTCTTACATAACAGTGAAATCGAAAGCGTTACGTAAAGCTTCCGTAATGACTTAGCTCTTTAAGTAACACGACATTAATACTCATTACGTAAAGAGACCTTTCATTACGTAAGGCTTCCGTAATGACATTTTACAAATGTTACGTAAAATACACATTCATTACATAAAGGTTACGAAACGATAGTTATTTCTTACGTAACAGTTAAATCGGAAGCGTTATGTAAAGCTTCTGTAATGATTTACACTTTACGTAACGCGAGGTTAATACTCATTATGTAAAAGACCTTCCATTACGTAAAGGTTACGTAACGACAATTATTTCTTACGTAACAGTTAAATCAGTAGCGTTACGTAAGGCTTCCGTAATGGCCTAGCTTTTTACGTAACGCGAGGTAATACTCATTACGTAAAGACACATTCTATTACGTAAGGTTTTCATAATAATCTCTTAGAACTGTTACGTAAGATTATCATATAATACGTAACCATTATGTAATGCTTATTGTATTTTAAGTAATGCAACCTATGAAACCTGTTATCGCAGATACAAAAATTCAAATTACCTTACTTCAAGTTACGGTAGGAAATTCCTATGTTGGTTATTGAAAGGCAGCTATCGATCTATCCATCATCTTTAAAATCTGTGTCCTAGCTTGCGTTTTCTTCGGGTAGGTTTTTCCTTCGTCGCCGATCCATAACTGCAATTTTGTTGTCTTCGTTTTCTATTTGACTTTCAAGATTTTGGAGCGGACTTTGTTGCCCTGATTTTTGTTTCATATAGTTTCCCATTTGCAAGGCGATGTGTTGTTGGATACTTAATTATTTATCTTTCTTCTGTTAGTAAATTCAAACCAATGTTAAGAACGTAATTTGTAAATAACCTAACTATAGTGCGGAAACGTAAGAACAAGATCGATTTACGTGGTATCCCCGTATGTACGGGACTAGTCCACGGGAGAGGAACACCTCTCCAGTTGTGTATGATTTTATTGATGATTGATTATTTGGCCGCTGGCCATACACAAATATTTATACCCTACACGTCTGTCTACTAGGGTTACACAATTGGCTCTTGGCCAGGCTAGGTTCGTGACCGTGTGGGCCAAGGATTGGGCCTTGTGATGAGCGGGCTGGGTTACCTCCAATACTCCCCCGCAAGATGGAGCATGAAAGTCACGAATGCCCAGCTTGGACATGAGAAAGTGAAACCGCTTGGCGCCAAGCCCTTTAGTGAAGAGGTCTGCAAGCTGGAGATGAGATGAGACCTTGAGAGGAGCAATATCATGAGACTGGACACGTTCCCGAACGAAGTAACAATCCATCTCAACATGCTTCGTTCGCTCGTGGAAGACAGGATTAGCAGTATTGTGAAGGGCAACCTGGTTGTCACAGTAAAGAGGAGTGGGACCAGACTGCGGGGCACCAAGCTCAGAAAGAAGCCAGCGTAACCAAATGAGCTCACTAACCGTACTAGCCATGGCGCGGTATTCAGCCTCAGCAGAGGAACGAGCAACAACCTGCTGCTTCTTTGTGCGTCAGGAGACGAGAGCACCACCCAGACTAATAAAATATCCCGTAGTAGAACGACGGGAGGACTCTCAACCACCCCAATCCGCATCACGGTAGGCAGTGAGACGAAGATCACTACCAGAGGGAAAGAAAAGCCCTTGACCCGGGGAAACCTTCAAGTAGCGAAGGATGCGATGCGCAGCAGCCATATGCGCATGGGTGGGAGCATGCATAGCCTGACCGAGAATGTTAACCCCATAGGAGATATCTAGACGAGTCACAGTCAGGTATAAGAGACGTCCAACAAGACGAAGATAGGAAGAGGGATCATCAAGAGGAGTCGTATCATCCACTCTAGTGAGATGATGATTTTGCTCAACAGGAAACGCACTAGGACGGCAACCAGTGACACCTGCATCAGAGAGAATATCAAGAACATACTTGCGTTGACTAAGAATGACACCCTGAGGAGAGCGGGCTGCCTCAATCCCCAGGAAATATCGAATACTGCCAAGGTATTTGATACTAAACCGATCATGCAGGAAGGACTTGACGCGGCTGATAAAGGCAAGATCATTTCCCGCAAGAAGAACATCATCAACATAGATAAGCGCAACCACAAAAGTGCTGCCCTGGTGATAGATGAAGAGAGAATGATCAGCATGAGAGGGCCGAAACTGAAGTTCACAAAGGGCAGTGGTGAACTTGTGATACCAATTGCGAGATGCCTGACAGAGACCATATAGTGACTTATGGAGACAACAAACACGAGTCTCCCCCGGTGCCGCAAACCCTTGCGGAATACGCATATAAACTTCTTCATCAAGATCACCGTGAATAAAAGCGTTATTGACATCCAGCTGATGAATGAACCAGCCTTTACTGACTGCAACAACGAGCAAACACCGAACTGTGACGAGTTTAGCAACTGGGGAGAAGGTGTCATGGAAGTTAATGCCCTCGATTTGAGTGTATCCCTTTGCAACCAACCGCGCTTTGTACCGTTCGATTGTGCCATCCGGAAGGAATTTAATCTTGTAAACCCATTTGCAATCAATAGCGTGTTTACTAGGGGGTAAAAAAACAAGGCTCCACGTGCCATTCTTCTCGAGGGCCGTGATTTC